AGCGCCCCCACACAGTGGGGGGCAGCAGGGCTTGCTCCCCACCTGGCAGCACCTGCTGAGCTGGGGCTTTTTTAACAAGTGCTGGGAGCTAAGGTGAGCTGGGGCAGCTATTGCTGGGCTGGGAGACCGGGCGGGGGATGGGCCAGGCCTGGGTGATTCCGGGATTTGGCAGCAGCTGAATATCCAAATCAGATTCACCCGAATCGAATTGGGACAGCGATTTGAATCGCCAAATCAAATCACTGTCCCCCCCTGAATCGGCCAAATCCGAAGCGAATATTAGCTGCTTCGCACAAGCCTACATGATATTATTTTTTAAGTGTTTTTTCAGAATAACTTGCTATGTCACTGTCAGCAATGCTCGTGTGGCAGCACGACTTTGCAAGGATAGTTAAATTGTAAATTGTTTTAATGCCTTTATTCTTAAATCTCCAGTGTGAAGTTCCAGAGGGTGGGCTGGTTCCCAAGTCTCTATACCGGACTGCAGAAGAGTTGGAAAATGAAGACCTAAAACTGTGGACCGAAACAATCTATCAGTCTGCAAGCGTCTTCAAAGGAGCTCCACATGAGGTAAGGGTGCACTCTCCCGTTCTCTTGTTTCACCTCAGCATAGCTGTCTCTAGTGCAGTGGTTCTCAACTTTTTAGACTTACAGGACCCCCTGGAAAATGCCAGCTTTTAGCTTGCACTTGTTTTTCTTGACTATAGAAAAATGGAGCAGGTCATCTGTTGCAAAGAACTCGGACCACAGTTGATACTGGATACCTGTTTGAAATCTCTGGGTTTATCTTATGAGTCATGTGTAAGGGCTGTCCCTTCTAATAGTACTAATATTGCATGCCACCCTGTGATAGCCAGGCTGTGGTACCCTTGTTGGGAATCACTGATGTAATGACTCTGAGTTTGGGTTATATTTAAAGTGGATATTTGGCTCTTCCCTAGAAACCCCCAGGTAGAAGTTGGAAGATCCAAAGAAGCTTTCTTTGACACCCTGAATAATGCAGGCCAAAACTGGGATCTGGATCCTTTTGTGTAAATGTTGGGGGGTTTTGTACTCTTAAGGAAACATAGGAGACAGGAGAATGTACTAGTAGGCTACTTTGTTGCATACCTACACTAGAGGCCCAGCACTGTTGTTAAATTATTAAAATAAAGCTGCTGGTTCTCTCCATATCAGTAGGATGACTTTCCTCCAATGTAGATTTTAAACTAGAATCTATAAAGAACTGAGCAAATTAATGCCTTGCCTTTCAAGACTTTTAAAGAGTTGATCACTTTAGATGGCTTAAATTTACTTATCCGATGAACTTCTCCATTACTATTCGCTAATTGAACAACTATGTTCTTGAAAAGGGCCCCTGCAAATTGGTTTTCTATCCTTCCTGATTTTTAATAGGTATGTATGTATGTATACAAATGAAAGGGTCTTAATGTGTTTTAGATCCACAGGAATTGAGGAACGTCAGTTAGGTCTTTCCTGTTTTTGCTGGAAGTATCTCTAGGGGACGCAGGCATTTGGATTGGAGACCCTTGGCCCTAACTGAAAAGCTGTATATAGGAAGGAGGATGGGAGATGACTTTTGGGTGTTTCTGCATCATAAACAAGCAAGAAAGCACAGCCATTCTACAGCATGTTACCTGGTTAGGAAGAAAAACATCTGAGGGTCTTGTCTCAAAATAAGCAATAGGATAAATGAGTAAATAGACAGAATAAAATTGAGCCGGTCAATATTAGCTTTTCTATGCTAGTAAGGATTTTATTTTTCCTCAGCCCATTGCTATCTTCCAATGATCTTCTCCTCTCTCTAGATTCTCATTCAGATTGTGGATGCTTCATCTGTAATTACCTGGGATTTTGATGTGTGTAAAGGCGACATTGTTTTTAACATCTATCACTCCAAAAGAGCTCCTCAGCCTCCTAAAAAAGAATCTCTTGGAGCCCATAGCATTACATCTCCTGGTGGGAACAATGTACAGCTGATAGACAAAGTCTGGCAGTTAGGGCGTGATTACAGCATGGTAGAGTCACCACTCACCTGCAGAGAAGGCGAGAGTGTGCAGGTAAGATGATTTAATTTTGGTGTTGGAGCAAGGCTTTCTTTTGCTAAATGTGATGGTTTATTCCCAAAGCTGATTCCTTACAAAGAAAGAACAATAGCTGTCATTACTCTCCCCTCCCTCCCCATATCTGTTTCCATTAATCAGCCTGACTTGCATTCAAGATTGATCAAATAAAACACTTAAAACATCCAGATCCAAAAAGCAGGTTTTGCTTTCTGAGATGGGCGGAACCAAACTAGCATGTCTCTGTGGTAAGAATTAGGGATTAAAAATGATCCTCAGATGCTCTTCAGGCCTCTGCCCTAGACTGTAACCTTGAACCCATCACTGAGGCCACAACTACTTATTTAGGTGATTTAAGGATGGGCTGCAGGCACCTAAGCAAACGGGGCCTGGCTGCTGAAGTACCAAACACTGCCACCTCCTTTTGATTTCCAGCTGTAGATTTTCAGCAACTTTTGAAAAGGAAGCTTCTCCTTCAATGTGCCTAACTTGGTGTTTGGCTCTGGAAAATGTTGCCATTAATCTAATGAGGCCCAATTTCTTTTTCTGTTGATATGGGGTTGAAGTGGATTTGGCAGCAGCTAAAAGAAGTGGGAAATTATAGATATACAGGCAGTCCTTGACTTAGTGTTTCATATTTACAACGTTGATAAATTGACATCCTGTTTCAACCTTATGACGTCAGTTTCGACTTCACAACGCTCAATCTGATGCGATGCCACGCCAGCGAACAAGCTCGCTGCGTCGCTTATCTCCCTGAACAACATCTGTCCAAACTTCCTTGGATGCTTTCTTTAAGAAAGCAGACAAGACTCCAGAAAAACCTGCAGCCAAGGCTGCTGAGAAGACTCCAGCCAAGAGCCTTTCAAGAAGTCCAGCAAAGTCACCTCAAAGAAGTCCTTTCAAATCAATATGACTGCTATTTACAATATAAATACATTAATGTAACTATATTACTCATCTGTAATTGACTGAGTATAAAATTCTGGGGTATTTTTGGTGGAAATAAGGTATCGGGCCTTGGTTCAGGTACTAATCCCCCATTTATAACATTTTCTTATGAGAAAATTGGTCCCAAGTTACGTTTCGACTTAAGACACGGTTTTCAGGAACCAGTCGTGTTGCAAGTCTGAGGAGTGCCTGTAATGCTGTTTGGAATTACAGATTTGTGCACCTAGTCGTAGAAATCGACTTGAAGACTCTTTTTTTGTTTATTTGGTTTTTTCCCTAGTGATGGTTGAGATGGTTTAATTTTACTTCATATTTTCACATAAGAAAGGTTAGATTCTTTTTTAATTTTATTAGCTTATTTTAGGCAGGTCCAATTGAACAGTGATGTACTGGGCTGACGAGCAGAAATGTCAGTATTTGAGAAGAAATGGGCACGTTGGCATTTTCCTGAATTCTGAAAAATACAGTTCAAACTTGCAAACCCTTGACTTAGAGTTCATTTCCATTTGCTGCTGTTTCTTCTAGGGGTCACATGTGACTAGATGGCCAGGCTTCTATATTCTCCAGTGGAAATTTCATAGCATGCCTGCATGTGCTACAACTAGCCTGCCTCGTGTGGATGATGTACTGGCATCTCTACAGGTCTCCTCCCATAAGTGCAAAGTGATGTACTATACAGAAGTAATAGGATCAGAAGACTTCAGGTATGTGTGGTGTAGGTTTGCCAACATCAAGTATTCTCTCTGACTTTCTGCCTTTTTAGCTTGATAATATTCTGGTGTATGTAGCAAGCCAAGTCCACTAAAGAAAAATATTATGTATATTCAATAGTTGTTTTTAATTGGATAGCAAACTGTGAGGACTTTTACCACCGCACAAAAATCTATACAGGTTTGCACATAATGTTTGAAGATGCAGGCAGCTGGTGAGGCAAGGGGGTGGAGAAACTAGTAATTTTATCTAGGGGTGCACTGCTTTTTAAAGCCTTTTTTTTACCAGTACCAATGGCCGATTTTTATTATCTGTTAGCACTATATATTGGTTGAAACAAAACCAAGAAGCATCTTCCAGATAGCATCAGATTTTTCCAAAAACACAACCATCCATTCCTGGCACTTTGTGTTGGTCGGGCATACAAGACTTTTTAAGTGCCAGTGTTGAGGTTAGCAAAGAGTTAGGTTTACTTACATTTTTTCCACTTACTTACTCTGCCAAGTGGAATGGTAAATGGCAAAGATGCACAGCAGAACTAATAAATTCCTTGTGCGCTCAAACCTCCAACTTCTGTTTTTATTGCAGAGGATCTATGACCAGCCTTGAATCAAGCCACAGCGGGTTCTCCCAGCTCAGTGCTGCCACAACTTCTTCCAGCCAGTCCCACTCCAGCTCCATGATTTCCAGGTAGTGCCACAGCAAATGAAAGGCAAACGGATGAGATGGCTGGACCCTCGTCTGTGGCAGCTGACTGTAATGCTGCATATTCAAGTGGCAAATGCAAAAACAAAAGCCTTTTATAGATAGTAAAGTAGCTGTTCAAATTTTAAACTTTGTGTTTTTGTTTAAGTTAGATCTGACAGCTAATTTCTAACTTCAACCCTAACCCTGACTCAGCCATAGATTTTTGTATGCATGCTTGCACAAATCCTAACTTTAAACCACAAGGGCTCTCATGGAAGGAAAGAAATCAATGTCTTGGTTAAGAATTACTTTGTAAACTATTAGCTGTATGCAAAAAAAAAAAAAAAAAAAAAAAGAACTCCACTCCCCAAACTACTCCTCAGTGCATTAGGAAGCAACAGTAAAGCTCCTGTCAGTAAGTTCCTTGCCACATTATGAAATATCCTGTGATCTTCCAGCTGTTGTTAAACGTTCTCCCACGGCCAGTCACTGATATTCAAGGAACTAAAGAAAGCAGTTGTTGGATGCTCAAGATAACCTGGATCACCAATGAGCTACATTCTTTTTTTTCGAGTCACCGCCATGGAGTGGTGGGCAAACTGTTAACACTAATACCTTCTGCATGAACACATTGTTGGGGGGTCCCATCTCTGATAATTGAGGGTTTAAAGGCAAATCTGACCCTATTGAATTTAGATTTTCAAGCACTGACAGTAGGGAGGCAAGGGGCGGAGAGCAGGCTCTCCCTCACCACAGCCCAAAGGCTGGTCCACATTGGGTCCTGGGGTTTATTCCTTATTCTGTTTTGGAGTAGCACTTTACCCCACTCCATGTATCTATTACACTTCAAGCACTCATTTTTCTGGCACTTACCTCTTGCTAGATGAACATCTAGTACACATCTTTCTGAAGCAGACATAGGTTTGCTCTGTAGATCAGTCAGAGGCATGGTGACATCTTCCTGTGCACTGCTTTCTTAAAACTTCCCTCTCTGGCCTTATGTACGTCAGGGGAAAAAGGAGAACTATACTTACCACCAGTGAATGTTATAATAGAGGGGGGTTTTTTCCTTCCCCACCAAAGCAACTGGCTACTTGGTCACCAAGGTACATAGAGGCTTTAAATGCTGAGTAAATGCTCTTAATTTGTGAGCTAAAACCCAGCATTCAGAGCATTAATATGTTGTATTATACTTCATTGCCAAGTAGAATATAAGAGATTACAGCTCAGAGCCCCAGCATGAGTTGTTTTATATAGACCACTGGTCAGAGGCCTTCCTCCTGCTAAGGAGCTGAACTGCTGTACATGTGAATAGCTAGTTGAACCAGGATCCAGAAAGAACTGCAGTGGCCTTATTTGAGGCATGAGGAAAAATCAGCTGAATTATTGCACTGTAAGAATAGGAATTTTAAAAAGATTCCATGCTGCCCTACTTCGGAGGAAGCTGGACCTGTGGATTTGGTATAAATACCTTTTACTGCACAGCACTAAACCTATACAGTATTGGTCACACTGCAATGGGGAAATGGCAAACTGATGTTGACATGCAGTATGTTAAGCTCCATCCTGAAGCGCAACTAACGAAAACCAGTCCTGATGTGGAGTGTTGCTAATGAAGTTATAATGAAAACTCATCAACAGGGGGAAAACAATCCCACTGCACTGAACTGGGAAACTCTCTTCTAATCAAGTGTATTGTTTTAAAAGGTAACAGTTTGGCTGTTACTTTGGCTATCAAAAATGTTGGCCAGCTGATCTTGTAGAAAACTACCATGCAGGTGTTAAATAGTTCCACACCCAGAATCTGTACAGTTTATGCACGATGGTCTGTCTTCTACTGCGAGCATAAGCCATCTGTCTAGTAAGATCCCTGCTTCCTGATGTACGTTTGAAGGGAGATAACTCCATTGTCGGCAGGCAGGAGCCAGTGTTCCACACACAGGAGTTAATGCCTCTAAAGGCACCATAGGATTAGCTAACCCGGTGACACTTAGTTTTTTCCAAAGGGCACCTCCCTTTTTCCAAGTTATAAGGGCTCTACCTTGAAGCTGGTCCCCTCTTTCTCTCTCTCTCTCCTTTTTTTTTTTCTCTCTCCTCTCTCTCTCTCTCTCTCTCAGATGGCGATTTTGCTGACAGCTGTAAAGAAACTGCTTCATTCAACAATCCACATCTGTCCAGAGGTGTCTGGCTTTATAGACCTTTTTGACTTGCAGTCACTTTTCAAGTCTGAAGATGTATCTTTTTTTTTTTCCAGTTGGCTCAAAAGTGGCAATTGCGAGGGGTATTTTTTTCTTTTACCCTCCCCCGTAAGTCTAATGCATCTTTAAGAGCTCAAAGCACATGACAGCACAAACAGTTAAACTACCAGAGAAGCAAAATTTAACTCTTCCTAGTGAAGTGCTATGGCAAATATGACTTGATTATGCAGTTTGAAATAGACCTGATGAATTTCAATACCCTTGACTTTTTAATGTGGGATCGCTGTTCTTTTCTGCCAGCAGTGACCATCCTGTTGACTTTTTTTATCCCTGCATTACTGGTCTCCTTTCCATACTCCTCTCTGTATTCATGAATTGAATTGCATATCCAATTCTGTAAATGTTTTGTAAACATATTACCTCACTCTTGGTAATGAGATACTGATAGTCTTTAAAAGATTTTTTTATTGTTATCAATAATAAATGTGAACTGGTTTAAAAAAAAATCCTTCAAGTTTTTTCATTTGTAGCCTGGTTCAGAAAGGTGGGACTGTGGAGTCTGTGGAAAGTTGTGTTCTGGCTCTGAGGGGCTGTGCAGTGTTATTGAGAGACTGACAAAAATCTAGCCACCAGTGTTAATATTTAGCTTTGTCATTCAGAAACACATTATCTGAGCATGGCTTAAACAGGGGTGCTCAACTTCCAGCCTGCAGGCAAAATCCAGTCCACCTGAGCCCCTGCATCTGGCCCATGGGGCTTTCCAGAGTCCAGAGATTTGGCAGCAGAGGAGCAGTGGCCATCCTCCCTGCCAGATTCCCAAACCCCAAGCCCTATGTGGCTCGTTGGGGCTGGGCCCCACTCCCTTGCCCCCCTATGGGAATGCATGGTGCCTGCTCCAAGCACCGGGTTGGAACCAGAGCTAGCCTGTGCATGGACTAGGTACTACCCATCTGACCCACCAGGGAAAAAGGTTGAGCACCACTGGGTTAGAATATATAAAGTTAATCCAAGGTGTAGTGGGAAGAGTTGCCTTTTCTAAAAGGCAGGGGTTTGGCTGTGTTGCATCCTGACAGAAATTGAGTTATCATAGGACTTGGCAAAAAATCTTTCTTCTGTAACACAAACTACCCATTCCTTCTCCCTGTCTGGGAATAAGCAAGAGAAACCAAGATGATTAATACATTAATCACATCCCAAATGTGCAAGAATAGGTGCCTAGATTTAATCACTTCATAAATTGTAACATGCCACATGTGCAAGCTGTTTATGGCATGACAAAATGGCAAACTGGCCACACAGATTCTCCAGGATGTTTAATGTGGACCGTCTTGATGGTGGCTTGGTATTGTGCATTAATTGAAATGTGGGGCATGCTAAAGCCAAAATGTGCAGCGCTCTGCTTCATGGGTGCTCAGTGGTGGGGTGGGAGGGAGGTGGGGGAACTGATGGGCTCCCCCGACTCAGTAAGGTCCAATCAAAACAGCAGGGGTCAGCTTCGGAGGTGCTGGGGAGGGGTGGGGGGGCAGTTCATTCCCTCCCTCCTGCCCAGGAAGTTTAACCCTGTGTGCCAGGCAGTCCTGCTCTGGCTGCCCCTGTCCAGCACCTACTCTTGCACAAAGCAGCCCCATGCAGGGCTGAACTGGACACAGTTTTAAAATTCCTGGGTAGGAGAAACTGACTGGCTCCTCTCTGATACATGTCAGTCTACGCATCAGGCAGCATATGCAGGACTGCATGGGATGCAGATTTAAAGCTGCTGGTATACATGGAGCCTAAATTGGGGTCCTGGGATGCATACATGCTAGTAAGTAGAAAGGGCCCCAAAGGAAGTGGCACCAGGGACTAGTCCCCTAATGTCAAGCTTCATGGGCCAGCACTCGCATAGTTGGCAACTGTCCCTGATCCTAAAAAAAAAAAAAATCAAAAAAAAATCACATGTCCTGCCATGCATGTGGCATGGTAGGATGCACAATTGGGTCTGAGCCCAGATCCCAACAATCGAGCCATGAAATTAATGTCGGTCAACACAAAGCTTGGGAGGGAAGCAGCTGTAATAAACTCTAGTCACTGTAGTAAGAACCCTTTGCATTTCTTTCTTTAAAAATGCAATTGCTTTTTCATTTTTTTTCCAGCTTTGAAGGGGAAAATAAAATCTAGTCCAAGGCAGTCTATTGTTTGTGAATCGCAAGCGCTGTAGCCAAAAGGTCGTTGTTGTTGTTTTACTAAGATGGCCCATCTGCAGCAAACAAGAGTTGTCATTTTTCTCACTGCAGCCTGAAATATTAGTACAGCCAACAGCATTTCTGATCTGAATGTCAGTGAATATTAATCACCACAGACCAATTGCTGTACCAATTCCTGGGAGCTTGTACAGAAGCTACGATGAGGCTAGACTGGGTCTACTGTGGAAACCCTGAGCTGATCTAAGAATGCTAGCTCATTTCCCCAGTGAAGTGCAGTCGGTGTGGCACTAGGCTAGTAAAAGTGCACTTTATGCCTCTATTGTAAAACTCAGTACTCGCCAAATAAGCTGGTAGAAGTAAAAACCAGGCCTCTTAAAACTGGGGTGCCTGTCTTAAATGGAGACAGCAACTTTCCTTTGTTGGAACAGAAGCAGAGGCACTGCTGCCAGATGACTGCGGTGCTTCTGCTGCCAGCCTTGGGGAAGGGGCAAAGTTCACCCTTCGGGTCTGAGCTACAATCATAGGGCTGGAAGGGACCCCGAAGGATCATCGGGTCCATCCCCGTGCACGAGCAGGAAAGACATCTGGGGTCAGACGACCCCAGCCAGGTGACCGTCCAGTCTTCTCTTGAGACCTCTAGGGTAGATGATTGCACCACCTCTGGGGGGAGCTTGTTCCATAGTCTGGACACCTTAGTTGTGAAGTTTTTCCTAATGTTCAGCCTGAAACTGTCTTTCAGGAGTTTGTGGCTGTCGTTTCTAGTTTTCCCCCAGGGCGCCCTGGTGAACAGTTGTTCACTGAGCCCCTGCTGTACGCCTCTGATATAGCAGTAAGCTGCAATCGGGTCCCCCCTCAGCCTTTTTTTCTTTAGGCTGAAGAGTCCGAGATCCCCCAGCCTCTCCTCGTATGGCAATGTTAACTCTCACAGCCGCTGCTGTCAGGGTCCCCTGCAGACAGCAGTCTGCCATGACTGGAAAAATTCATTGCCCCCCATTCTCCCTTCCCAAAATAAGGTGTTTTGAGGTGTGGTATGCAAGAAAATAAGGTACTTGCATCTATTCTTGGGCTTTCTGCCAGCACAACTCAGGTGTGTGGCCAGGTCTGATGCCTTGACTTCTGCTGGGAATGCAGCCCTGACGAAGCATAAGGAAACAAAAACCTCCTGATTGACACTGGATGGAAAAAACATACTTCATCAGACCACATCACAGGCCACTTGAATTACAGTACAGTATTGAATTAAATTATAGTATTTTTCCCCCCACCTGAAATACTTTGACAGTGTTGTAAACTCATTCCTTTTTATTGTATGGAAAAAAGAACACCCCATGCTAGAGGGCTGTAACCGTACCATTGTTCAGGTTGTGCAGCCATCCAGTGTCAACGGGGCCTAATCTTTCCTGTCCTTAGCTTGTTAACACTATAATGGGAGAAAAAGGAGAACTGCCTTCCTTGATGGTGTGTGCAGCCTCATATGCCAGCCACGTTTTTACTTCATAGTTCCTCATCAGTATCTGCACGAGACACCCTGTAATGATGAGTGCTGTTAAAGAAGTACACCTTGATAAAGCAAATCTTGCTTATTGTCATGAAACTCTAGCAATGTTTTGCAGACAAATCTTTACAACAGCAAGCAGCTCTCCCCCAGTCATCAACCAAACTATTCTCTTATAGACAGTGTAGTATTTGCACATACCCTACTCCAGGGAGTTAACTGAGCTACTGCAAGGGCCACCAATTAGAAAAGCATTTCACTGGTATGTGGAGCCTGTGATATTTTGAGTTGCTGAGTCAAATGCATGGCAGGGAGGGGAGTTTAAATCCCTGTTTTAGTGCACAGTGATTCTGGATGCCAGCATGTTCACTTTTTTTTTCAGCCATGCAAAGAAAATGTAAATTTTTCTAAATGAGCTCTTTAGGAGTTGGTGTGGGAGGCTGTGAATCAGAGCTGATGTGTGTCCAGCCTGCTTTAAAATGTAAAGTGCAGCCAACAGTTTTAGATGCAAGTAATTACTATGAACCGGCTCATTCCTGGTCCATCGCATCACAGAACTGCAAAACCCTTTGAAAAGATTTTGTCAACAAGGCAAGGAATTAAAGGCTTGGTTGTGCTGCTTACAATGAGGTGATGGTCAGTCAGCAGTAGTGTCTTTGATTTTGTTAGTTTTTGCACATGAGCTCATGAAGGGAGACATTTGGGGATTCTTTTGATCGGGCTCTGAAATACCGGTGTGGATAGCTGTGGATCCTGTTGCAGGATTACCCAAAGGGCCTTGTGCGCCTGTTCTTGCAAATACTCAAAGAGCATTATAGGTTCAACGGTAGGAAAACTATACAGAAGTAACCTCTGCACCCACACCTCTCAAAGTCTGCCTGGTTAACTGTGCTGTGGCTAAACTCTGAGGCTAAGCCCCTTCATTCCTTACACAAGTGCAACTCTCAACCTGCTAACAGACTCATAAAATCTTATGTAGTCTCTACCCCCAACAGAGGCAGCGTGCTGACTTGGACTGCCTACAGTAGGGGTTTTCAACCTTTTTTAACTAGGGTGCCCCTTTTGTCTCAGTTTTTAATGTTATCAGCAGGAGCACACAGAGCCCCCTCAACACGCGGTAGCCACACGGGCCTTCGTGGCACGAGGGGAACCAGCTGCAGCTGTTGCTTGCTGGGCTGGGGTAATAATGCTGCGGCACCCCTGGATCCCCCAGGCACGGCTGTCTGCACACGTCAGATGGGGCTGAATGGCGCCCTGTGTCATGTCTGGCAGGGGCCTCACAGCCTCTGACCTGCCTGCCACAGTGGGTCCCAGGAGTCCCCCTGCCACACTGCTCCCAGGGCTGGCTCCGGGCCCCCTGCCCCCGTCATGGGGTGGATCTGCACCCATGGCACAGAGGGCTGTGGCTCACTGTATGGATGTGGGGGAAGGAGGGTGGGCTGCTTCTCTCAGGCTGACTCTGCCTCCCGGCCAATGAGGAGAGCAAGCTGGGGTGGGGGGGCAGGGAGGCGCCGCGGTGTGCAGCGTGGGGCTGGCAGCGTCCGGCGCATCCCTCCCCTGGGAAAGAGGCAAAGTGTAGGAATGCGCAAGGGGAGACGCCACCACCGTGCCCTACCCCAGGCGCGCTCTGTCCTCACCCTCCCGCGTACCCGCTATGACCTTTCTAAGTACCCCTGGGGGTACGCATACCCCCGGTTGACAATCCCTGGTGTAAAGAAATTGCAGCTCAAAGCAACAAACCCCCTGAGCTAAAGTATCTACGGAGGCTGACATCCTTGCAAGTTTCCTAATTGACAAAAGGATTTTTTTCTTTGCTAACCTCTT